GCGACATAGCCCGCGCGTAATTTATTACAATTGGATTTCATGGGTTTTAGTTTTTTGCGCGGAACCCTAATGATTTTTCTAAAATAAATGTACCCTAAGTTACTTCTTATAACATGAACAACGAAAGTCCGCTCAAAATCGGTCCAGCAGTTTCGGAGATTAGCCGGAACAAACAGACAGACAGAAAGACAGACAAAAAATTTAAAAATCGTGTTTTTGTTATAAGTATCGTATATACTTTCAGTTGTATATAGTAAAAAGCTGTTATTTCGATATTACAAACAGAAACTTCAATTTTAATCCTTTGTATAGTGGTACAAGTGGCATATGTATTTGACTTAAAATTGGTGAAAACCTTTATGTTTTATTACTTTCGTAAACTATGTACATAAAAAGAAAATTAACGACCTTGTTTTAATACACAAACATAAATGTAGCACTAAACAACTACCTTATTCCTTTTATATATTAGGTGTTCTAAGAAATGCAGGTACAGAGCCTAACGAAGGAAAACAAGCATTGTTTACTACAAGAATATCGCTTTTTACAACAACGGTGCTTACACCGTTGTTTTCATAGTAATTAGACGCATCAAATTATACATATTTATTAAATAATAAATTTCGTTTTGAAAGTGAATTCGATAGCGAACTAAAGAAGTTTAAAAAGTAAAAGTATTGAAGAAGCCAGAGATCAGTCTGCCAGAAAGAGCCAACTGTCGAAGCTGAAGACCGAATGTGGCAGCATCGTTTCCGGGGCACCTGAGATTTTTAGTGAGATTGAGAATCATCGTCATCGTAGGAGCCACAAGCAAGTCTGAGTTTCGATCCAAGAGTAAGTCTTATCCGACACTATTCCGAAGATAGTGTCGGAAAAGACTTATCTTAGGATATGAGTCTTATCCGACACTGTCATCAGTCTGAGCGAGATAAAAATGGCTCTCCAGCACCTCAAAAACGGCAAGTCCCTGGACGAGGATGGAATTACCGTGGAGCTTCTGAAAGCGGGTGGAAAACCAGTACTTAAAATCGTTTAGAAAATGTTGAAGATGGTGGCACTGCTCCGGAAGCGTGGAGCAGAAGTTCGTTAATTTCAAAACTGGTAAAAAATACAGAAAAAAACATGCGTGTCGTGGAACACTCTGGTTTCCTGTCATAGTATATTATTATTGATAAACTTATATTATTGATTAACAAATACAAATAAATGAATTACTAGCGTCTATTAAAATAAAGCGTCATTTAAAATAATATTTCTTTCATGGCAAGATAAGAAAAGTACGAGGGAGATGGATATTATTCCATCTCGCTCACACTATACAAAGGAGGTCGTGACGGAAAAATCTTAAACTTTTCTCGCCTAACCGCCATCCGCCAAATTCGTACCGTGCGATAAGGAACTTCGATCCAATATAGATTGACAATAGTGAAATAATACCCATCACATAATATATACGTAGGTAACTTAGACTTTTGCCATAAAATATATACTATGTGAATGCATTATTTTGAGGCGGGCATGTCCAATATTTGAAATTTTTACTTAATAAAGTATGTGTAAAAGGATAGTTATGTATGATGATTGAATATTACCTAGTCAGGTCATAAGTATTGTTACACAGTAAAAACTTTTCTTTTAGAATGCTGGCCACAAAAAAGTTTATTGAATTCGAATTTCGAATTGTTCATGAAAATAAAACTGTATACTTTTTAGAATTTTACTCATTTTTAAATATGGAGTGGACGCTTAAAGAAGACCGTGTTGCAGTTATTGCGTTGCATCGTTGCGGTTACGCGCCAATATAACCAAAAGATTCGTTTATCGTACCATCAAAGGATACAATGAAGACTCTAGTGTAGATGACAGGTCAAGAAGTGGTCGCCCTCGGTCTGTTAGGACTCCAGCAGTGATAAAAGCTGTGAAGGCGCGAATTCAAAGAAATCCCAAACGTAAGCAGTAACTGTTGGCCCTTCAGATGGGGTTAAGCAGAACCACGGTGAAAAGGGTGTTAAATGAAGACTTAGGGCTTCGGGCATATCGAAAAAAACAGGACATCGTTTGAATGCTCGTCTAATCGACCTGAGACTGAATAGATGCCGCGCTTTGTTGAAGCGGCATGCGGGAAAAAAATATCGGGAAATTCTTTTTTCGGATGAAAAAAATTTTACCGTAGAAGAGAGCTACAACAAACAAAATGATAAGGTGTACGCACACAGTAGTGAAAAAGCGAGCAACCGTATTCCGCGTGTCCAACGAGGTCATTTTCCATCCTCGCTCATGTATGGTTGGGAGTTTCTTATTGGGGCTCAACAGAGGTACATTTTTGTGAGAAAGGTGTAAAAACGAATGCAGTTGTGTATCAAAATACAGTCCTGACGAACCTTGTGGAACCTGTTTCTCATACCATGTTCAATAACAGGCACTGGGTATTCCAACAAGATTCGGCGCCAGCTCATAGAGCGAAGAGCACACAAGACTGGCTGGCGGCGCGTGAAATCGACTTCATCCGGCACGAAGACTGGCCCTCCTCCAGTCCAGATTTGAATCCGTTAGATTACAAGATATGGCAACACTTAGAGGAAAAGGCGTGCTCCAAGCCTCATCCCAATTTGGAGTCACTCAAGACATCCTTGATTAAGGCAGCCGCCGATATTGGCATGGACCTCGTTCGTGCTGCGATAGACGACTGGCCGCGCAGATTGAAGGCCTGTATTCAAAATCACGGAGGTCATTTTGAATAAACTCTAGTGTCATAAGAATCTATGTTTTGTTAAGTTCATTTTGGTATACAAATGGTTACATAATGAATAAACTTGTTTCAATTATTTTATATTAAACATGTGACAGAATTTATGACCTGACTTAGGTATGTACAGCAAAAATAAAAAAAAATATTGCTTAAAAATTCAAATAAATAATACTTTTTTCTTTTCCCGCTCTAAAATTAGATATACTTAAATTACTAAAAACTTGGCATCCCTATTTACAGTGTCCACAGCACAGAATTACCGTGTGTGTGTGAGGTGAAGTATATCCACTACTCCATATCATCCCGTGGGTGTCGTAAGAGGCGACAGAGGGGAAAAAATCAGGAGATGGGCAGCAGCGTCTTCCTAACAAAACGATTAAAAATAAAAAATTGTGGTTGCCAACGCGCTTCCCAAACATATCCACTATGGCTAATATCTCCCCTATGAGGGATGCCCATGTTCAGCAGTGGACTTTATAGACTGTAACGGTAACAGTAACGGAGCACAGAACATATAATATGTAAGTACTCTCTAACGAGAGATGGATATACTATTTTTACACAGTTCAAAATGAATGCCGATCGCGCCGCTACGCCTCACGGCCCGCCCAACGCTCGTAACTCAAACTCAGGGGTGTGATGAACAATAAAAGTTATTGTAAAACATTGTGGGCAGAAAATAGAAATTAAAAGAAATTGTAAGGACTCAGTGATCAGTGAGTTTCCTTCCATACAGTGAAGAAATAACGATGTTTCACTTCGAGTTTCTACTGTTTGCGCATTGTATTTACCATTGTATAATGTTTAAACTATAGCGTTATCTGTATTTACTGCGATTATGGCATTTATACATACTCTATGTATTGAGGTTATCAAATAATTGTTACCAATAGATCTTGTTTTAATAAATAAAATACAGGCGATGCCGTGTAATGTGTGACGAATGACGATACCTTACCTAAGGATATCAACTAACAATTTACTTTCTATTGCCCACCTACTCTTTTATACCACGACCGAAATTAATAAGCCGTTACTGGATTGCGTTGGATGAATGAAAGTAATGTTGTGACTTGTGACGTGTGATTTATAGAACGGATTCAGGAAGTCAACGACCGCTTCAGTCATTGTTAATAGTTAATTATGTAGAAGCTAAATACATATTATATTAGAATACACATATTGTACGTATAAATTTAATTACGTACGTGGAAGTGGAAGTAAAAGATCACACTACCTACTAGACTGCATTACTCCGTTGCGGTCATACGCGGCTGTTAGCCCGAAAATAACTGGGTCAGTGTACAAAAAAAGTGACGGTAAATTGAGCTTAATATTTTAAAATAAGCATCTATTAGAGAAAGAGATGATTGTAGATAAAAATCTATTGGGTTTCAGCCGAATTTTTATTCTGTTTCAGTCTGCAGAATTCACGTACGTAATTTTGTATGTGGTAGAGCCATGCTGCAGTTATATTAGTAGGTAGTATAGTTGTAGCACGAATGGGTCGGCTCGACCGGGGAAGGACCACGCTCTCACAAAATACTAGCGTAAAATAGCAGCTTAACACTGCTGTGTTTCGTATTGTGAGTGTAGAGAACCGGAGACCCTTTTTACAGGAATTCCATCTTATGTATCTGCATTTTGATTCACAAACGAGGATAGATGTAGATGTCTATGGCCCACAGCAACCACTTACCATCAGGTGGACTGTGTGCTCGTTTGTCACCCTATCCTAATGAAAAAAAAACTTACAATACGACGCATACGCGTGTTTGCGTATTAATTTTGAGTTTTTAATTTGTAAGATTTACAAATATAAAGATAAATAATCAATGGACAATATTAAATAAATATATCGCATAAAATATGTATTCCTGCTTATTAGACATTTTGAATAATTAATCTGTGACAGTAAAACGCTTACATTTCTTAGGTAGGTATATAGAATATAAAAGCAAACATAGAAATCACTTTGTAAATTTGTTATTTGTTTTATTTTAATAAATACAAACATTTATTTTAATTTTCTTCATTAGACTTTAAGTCTACCTGCACATAAGCTTTCTCATTGGCTCTTATATTTTAACCAAACATCGGAACCTACTAACATGAAGTAATTAAAACGTGCATAAGTACCGAAGCCGCTCACGAAGAAATAAGTGAATAGTATATAATACAAACACTTACCTCGGTCAGCAATGTCTAACAGCTGGCTAGTTTTGACGTTTAATATATAGGTTATACGTACGGTTCACCGCGCCACGTGTTTTTAAAAATAGCGGGAAGCGCGCGACTAACCTACGCGTAAGTTAAAATCGGAATGAAGGAATGAAATGAACGATGGCAGTGGCAAACGAAACGAGGAGTATAGAGATACGCGCGCAGCACGCAAAGCAAGCAAGACCGATTGTTGCGTCATAAAAAAGAGTAGGGTCTACAGTAACGTCGATACGAGACGTCTGTGGGCGTAGTACGAAACGTCAGGCATTGTTAACCGGCATATTTAAAAGTGTACGCGAATAATACGTATTAGCGGTACATGATATTACTTTTGATTTTAGTTAGAATGCTGACATTGGCGCGCACGCGCCTTCGCATCAAATCATAATAATAATTAGGGTTGCTTATCGCACATACTCTAAAATAAATTATTGTACTCCATTTCATTTAGGTGTACTTTATAAAATAATAAGCTATTAGAGTTTTCAAAAATTATCTATTTACGTTAACTCTTTTTGCTACAAAGTTCATTGTTCCAAGCTAAAACACAAAAAATAACCATTATACCCGCAAAAAGTTTTTACATAAAATGCTATATTTAATATAACTCTGACTTCTTATCACAAAGTTGTAAGTGCCAGCAATAACACATAAAAAATACAAAAAATATAGTCATTTTTAAATAATTTTCTGTCTGAAGTTCATACTCTATTTATCATCTCTGAATGAGAGCTAATAATCTTCCGTCCACCAGAGGTCGCTAGTTGACACCGGGGTAAAGTTTTTGTGACACAATAACATTTAATTGAGAAGTTAGTTATAAATAAAAGTTTATCAGTTTCTAGAGTATTATAATTAAAACACAAAACAATGCCTCAATGGTTTGCTCTTGAATTTTTTGCACATTTTTAACTGTTTTTTTTTTTATTTTTCTACTTTCATGAATATCTGTTGAATATCAGCTCTTTGAATGAGTTTTTTCAGAAAAATATGAACTTATGGCTAATATGAACTTACAGTGTTGTATTGGTGATTTTAATGATAATAATTCTGTAAACACATACTCGCTACGGTCGCGAATCCATATTTTGTTAAATATACAACCTAACCCTGACCTGCAAATTCCAAAAAACACAAGAAAATTTGAATTTCGCGCGCCACCCTGGAGCTTCCACCTTAAGTAGCACTGCCCTGGTGGCAAAAAAGTCCTGGATTATCGTCATTAAGACATACTTCATTACTTCTTAAAAAATTGGCAACCCTAGTCATAATGCTTACCTATTAGATACACTTTAGATACGGGTTGTGTTTACACTTTGCAAGAAAAAATGACGTTTTCGTCACGTACAGTAAAATTTACGTGTAGAACATTCATCAGACAGAACAGCAGTGTTTTTGAACAATACATTTTTTTATTTTTACCATCTCGTTTTAGCAAACTTGTGATACTACATATTATATTCTGTGTTTCTAATATAATGACTTTCAAATTATAAAAAAGACACTATTCTTCTTTGGCATAGTTTTAACTAGGTCAACTGAAAAGCGAAATAACATTGTATTTAAGTTTAAATATAACTTAAATTGCAGGCTTGTTTCTTTAAGTCTTATATTTTTGTTGTTCAGTAACATTCAATGATCTTCTTTTTGTATGGTATGCTTGTAATACATATTTACTTTAATATTAGAATACTTACTAAATCCATTTTGCGATTTTCCCCCAACATACACAGCTTTCTTGGCAGAATAGAAATTCTACCACCTGTCCTTAAATTATTGGAATTTATTGTATGCAGGCGACAGAGATAAACAAATCAGGAGAGGGGCAGCAGCGTCTTTCTAAAAACAACTAAACATGCAATCGACTAAACGATAAAAAACTGCGGTTGCCAACACGCCTGACAAGCTTGGCAACTATGGCAAATAAAGCCCTATGAAGCAATCTATGTGGGGAAGCAACCTTTGTTCAGCAGTGGACTGTAACAGTAACGGTAAAAGCTTAAATGTAGGTGTTATTGTAAATTGAATGTTGAGATAAAACGGTTATGTTTTATTATAACATTAAAATGTTTTTACAAAATGCATAAGGTTTATGAAAAATGATTACCTAGCTTTACGGGTGCAATTTTTTCACAGACTTACAAAATATATATAATATACAAAAATTTTAAATTATGTTTTATAATACTCATAAGTATTTAAATTAATGAAACGATAATAGTATTCTTTATTGGAGACAAAAAATTACTTTTAATTTTTTATTTATTTCTTACTGCAAGATATATGTATCCTCCAAACTTTTTAGAGACGCTTCGGCGCGTAAGCTCTAACCCCTATTGCGTCAGCCGATTGGCCTTCGCACCATGAACACAATTGAGAGTGACTAACGGCAATGTACTATTCAATGTCTATGTCTTTCTAATGTCTACACTATATTACATCATGTTTTGGGTAAGGAGCGACCTACATTTAGGTCGTAGGAAATGGGAGAGTTATTAATAAAAGTAGTGAAATATAATGAAATGGGAAAAAAAAAACATAAAAGTTAAATTGAATATTAATATTATTTTACTTATCAGTTATTAAGGTGTTCATTTTATATTTCAAAAGGAAAAATGACCAGAATTAAAATGCGTTTTGGCAATTTTACATATATTTATATTTTTTATTATATTGAAAGTAATTAAAAAAAGTTATAAATCATATATAATAAGTATAAAAAATTAAGAAACTTTGAGACGATTTTAAAACTGTTGTAAGTAAACTTGATTTCGTGTTAAGTTTAGATATTTATTTAGGTAGAGACCATGTAGAGACACAATAATAATTAAGTATTTGAATTATTGTACCTAAAGAGGATCCTCTTGATCTCGACGATAACAAACGACAGAATAATTAAGTTGTAGAGTCCAAAATTAAAAGTTACCTAAAGTAAATTTTCTTTTTCGCTCATCATAGGAAAAACACGTTTACAGTTTTTAGTTATTCTTGGTATTTTATTAGTTTAAGTGCAGTGGAGGAAGGTTTTATTAATTCATTCAACATTTTAATCCATTAAGTTATGATGTACATAGTATGTAATGATTCCTGTCATTTAAGTACAATGTTAGTATTTTCATTCACTTTAATAAAAGTTTGAATGAAATCTCAACAGTTTGTTTGCAGTCAACAAAAATATAACAACATTTTCTTACGGTTAAAAATAGGGAGCGAGTAACTCAAAAGTCGTGGGTTCGAGTCCGCTATTCGATATTTCGGTGCATGCATTTAAAGCTAAGTTGTTAACAGTATTGTTAGTATTCTATGTTTTTAAAATACGCAAGATAAGTTTAAACAAATCTATCCACGACAAGTTGCGTCAAAATTGCGACGGTGCTAGACGTCTGTTCTAACGATCGTAAATACACCTATCAAACTTGGCAACCACAGCAAATCTACCCTACTAAAGGAGCGCCCTTAAACAAAAGTGACCTGTTTACGAGCTGTTGATTAAAATGAAATAAAAGCCTAGACATTTTATACGTGGTAGAGCCATGCTGCAGTGATATTAATAGTATAGTTGTTGCACGAACGGGTCGGCTCGACGAGGGAAGGACCACGCTCTCGCAGAATACCAGCGTAAAATAGCAGCTCAACACTGCAGTTTCGTATGGTGAGTGTCGAGAACCGGAGACCCTTTTTACTGGAAAAGACCTCTTACCTCTTAGTCCTCACGGGTGACAACGCTTCTGAATTTTGATTCTTTATTAAGGAAAGATGTAGATGTCTATGAGTCACAGCAACCACCCTTACCACCAGGTGGGCTCCGTGCTCGTTTGTTGCCCTATCCTATAAAAAAAATTAAAGTAACTTTTCGGCGACTCTTAAAATGCGCAAAGAGATTTAAAATACTGAACTCTACATTTACCGATTTTGACAAAAAAATATTTGAAGAATTTTTTTAAATAATAGCCATATGTAATAGTATATAGTACACTATGTTGCATGTTATTGGTCGTTTGTATTTTTTTTACTTATTATTTTTATATCATTTATTATTCATTTAAACATTATATATTGTACAAATAAATATTAAAACGAAAGTTACAAAATTTTATACATATAATTAAAAAGCTTAACTAGGTAAAAAAATCTCTCTGGTCTGTTAATCTGCTGTTAAGGTATAAGGTTACTTTTCGGTCACTAGAGACATTAACGAGGCGTGATTAGAGTATCTTTTTACAAACGTCGTACCGTTACTACAACAAACGTCACAAACCACACACGGTAGAGCCACGCAGCAGCTGTCTTATAGTTGTAGCACGATTAGGTCGGCTCGACCGGAGAAGTACCACGGTGTCTTCTTTAGGTGAGCGTAGATAGCCGGCGATCCTTTTTACTGGACCCGAGGCATTCCCCATGGGTGACCAGGCATCTTCAATTTGGTTCTTAATTGAGGATAGATCTACCTCTATGTGCATCATCTTATCATCAGGTGGACTGGACTGTGTGTTGGTTTGTCACCCTTATTCTATAAAAAACAGTATATCTTTTGAATTTTTATTTTTTTGGAATTGTTTCTAATTATCGGAATCCACTACTGGTTATGAAGTTAATTGCAGTGGAGATAAAAACGCTTTGATCTAAATGCACCTATGGTTGAATATATCATAACTTACTTGGAAATGAATGCTTAAGGATTAAAGCATGAGTCCGTAATAATAATGGTCTTGCTTTTGCCAACAACTTAGTCCGCATATAACCTACAGTAAGAAAAATTCAAGAGTCAAAATTAAACAAAAAATACCTAAATGTTGGTGCGTTTGGAACTTAAGAAGAAATGCGGGACAAGAGACTTAAAGAGGAAATGCGGCTGGTCTTTTTGTCCACATAAACGCTCTCGACTGTTTTCTTCCTGGTTTATGACATTATAGCAATGAGTTTTTATACTAAAATAAATATCAACCTCTTTTATGTCCCTGTGTTTTCCTTTTTGATGATACATTATATTTATAAGCACTAGAACCCTTACAAAATCACAGAACACTAATACCCTTAGGCGGGTACAAAATGCTCAAAATTGCCTATTAATACCGCTGTCAACAGAGGACTGTTCAAATTTGACAACTAATACTGAAAAAATAAAACATAGGGAGACAGTGTATATCCTCCTTATTCAGTTTATGATATGATAGATACAACAAACATATTATTGTTCTGATGGGTAATTCTTATCACAGGCTATCAAGTTATATTCTTAGCGGTCGTTGAATTGAAATTGTCGGCAAGTGCAAACGATGCAGTATTTTTAGCAATTCCATAGACATGATGTCTCTGCACCGCTCTGTATGTATTTAACAATTTTCGTTTATTAGTTATGAAAATGCACTAAGCACTGGCCTATAATACTTTAAAAAATGTTATCAAACCCTACCAATAGGATATATAATGAGGAAATTTTTCATTGCGATCGGCATCGGGGACCGATGTGTATGATAATGTGATAAATGATAAAACTATATATGATAAATATATGTGTGTAGCCATATTTTTAAGAGCGGGAACAAGAATTAACGCGTTTTTGAACTTGTTGACTAAGCTATAATTAACAGAACAAATTATTGTCAGAAACTGTGGAATTAATACTCCAGCGTGGGGTTAACTTTCAAATGACTTCCGTGGAATTTGACAGTCCGTAAAAGGACAAAAATATGTGCAAAAAGAACTAGAATCTTCTGATAAATATAGTAGTCGACCTTCGCCAATACTAAGTGCTTACTTAGTACTACATAATAATTTACAATGTATTTTTTTGTATTACTTTGTAGGCTGTAAGTTCCAAGTTCATATCGATAACAGCACTTGGTGCATTGCAATGCAAATTGGCGGCAGAAATAAGTAAGTATCGGTAGTACCAATTTAGATAGAGCTCTTATCGCCGAATATCTTAATACTTTAATCGAGCAATCTTGTGTAAATATTTATGCACATATCTAATTGGCTCTTCGGAAACGGCTCTAACAATTTGGATGAAATTATGGCATTTAGATAATGTTTTAAGTTTATCTGAATAGTTGTCATTCATGAGGATTTTCTTTAACGCTGAGTGAAACTTGACTGTCACTTGCGCGTTATGTATTAATTTTTACTTGTTTATAAATCACGTTAAGTTTGAGCTTTGGATTCTCCATATTTAACGACCATATGAAATAATGCTATAAATAACAATGCATTTTAGGTGTTGAAATGCGCGTAAGAAAATACAATTTCGTATTAGATATGTAATTTTTTTTTCAAGTCTAATACCGTTGTAAAATTGGGTTAGAGATTCCTCAGAGGAGAGGAAACAAAAAAAAAACTCCGCAAGTGGGATATATAGCTTGGACCATTTGGCTATTCTCACCAGGTAGGAGGCAGGGCAGGCGAGTTGGTTAACATAGCGCCGATAACCTCGCACTAGTGATTCCGCCCCTCGTCAACATCTATGGGTATTAGGTTCAACATATTTTAGATGGATTGCTTGCCATCAGTCAGTTGTCAGCTCGTTCGTCGATAAGCACGTGGCACCGTCTGCAGGTAAAGTTAGTACTAGTATGTAGAGAAAAGGTTGACTGTTTTTCCCTTGCATAGAAAGCTGCTATACCTTTGTAACAAAATTGAAGTCCATATTTTACAACTAATCTTCTCTTACCCACAAACAGTGCGGAATTACAAGGCTATACGTACTGACGCACTGTTTCCCGGAATCACTACTACTGCAGTAGAGTTGATTATGACTACGATTAGCATGTTTCGAATTATGTTTAGTTGAACTACATATTTGTATTTATACATGTGTATAATGTATATAGAAACTTTTAGCCCCACCCTCTTATATATAATAGGTCGGGGAAAAAGTTTCTTCGTATTTTGTTTGTATAAAATTGAAGAAATATTTCTTCGGTTTTACTGTTTGTATCTGGTTGGTTTTAATATCAATACATATAACATTACGAAAAAGAAAAATAAAAAGTAAAAAACACTTTCCCGCCATTTTTGAATTGTTATGTCCGTCAAAATGAGTGCATCTAACGAAAAATTTGGATACATTCTGAAGTTTTATTATAAAAAAAGGAAAAATAAGACTCAAGCTGTGAAAAAAAATTATGACGTTTATGGACCTAATGCAGTGTCAGTAAGAGTAGCACAAAGATGGTTCAAGCGTTTTCGCTCTGGTCGCCAACGTTATACGGTTAAAGTCAATGCCATTTTTGAAAAAGTGGAGCAAGATCGGCATATAAGTATTTACAACATAGCCGAGGAATTGAGGATTGACCACAAAACAGTGACCGTTCGAAAAAGTCTGGCTATACAAAAAAGCTCGATATTTGGGTGCCACACGAGCTCACTGAAAGAAACCTAATGAATCGTGTACTCATTTGCGATTCTCTATTGAACCGTAATTAAATCAAACCATTTTTTGAAAAGATTGATCACTGGTGATGAAAAGTGGATCACCTACGACAAGAACGTGCGAAAAAGGTCATGGTCAAAGGGTAGTCAAGCTCCACAGACTCCCGAAACCCGGATTAACACGCAATAAGGTAATGCTGTGTTCATGGTGGAATTGGAATGGCATCGTTGATTTAGAGCTGTTACCGCCGGGCAAAACCAACGATTCGAATTTCTACTGCCAACAACTAATGAGACTCAAGCGAAAAATCGAGAAAAAACGGCCGGTATTTATCAACAGAAAAGTAGTGGTCTTTCATCATTATATCGCCAAACTACACACATCTTTGGCCACTCAGCAAAAATTTAGAGAGCTTGGTTGGAAAGTGTTAATGCATCCACCATATAGTACTGATCTTGCACCCTTAGATTTTCACCTGCTTCGGTCTCTTTAGAATTCTTTGGGTAGTGTTAGGTTAACATCAAGAGAGGACTGTAAAACCTACATGTCGCATTTTTTTTTGGTCAAAAATCCCAAGATTTCTACAGCAATGGGATTATGTTACTACTTATAAAATGGTAACAAGTTATCAAACAAAATGGCCCATATTATATATTATAATGAAATGAAATTAAACTTTGAAAAAAACAAATAAAATACGAAGAAACTTTTTCCCCGATTTTATATTATGTTCGCATGTATTGCGTTACATACTAAAATCATTGAATTTCTATATCTAGTACTCTATTGATATCATTTTATTTCTATACCTTTTGCATTTTGTTTGAAAACTACTCATAGTCCCGTGTAAGCAAAAGCTGTGTCATTACTAATTAAGATTACTTCATTAGTTAATATTATGTAAATTTGTTTTTCTAGTGTCAATAATGTGATATTCATTTATTTATTCTATATTGGCGATCCGCCCCGGCTTCGCCTTGATAGAATCTAATATGTGACATCATTTAGATTTTTTTTTAATTAACATCAATGACCATTTATTTTATCAATTTTCCATTTCACAAAAAATTAGCTTAGATCACTCTGCTGGCGCTTGCATTGCTCTTTATCTTTTCGTGAAGTTTCATTAGAATTGGTTGTGCCATTTCAAAAATTAGCCCGGACAGACAGACAACATTTTTACAAATAGGTTATTCATGTCTTAATATAGCCTGAGCTCCATAAAAGGCAGTTATCTAATGTAATATTATAGACACACCCTTAAATTTTATTTATATGCATATATCATATAAATTTATATTTTATCTACAATCTATATTTTAAAGACAAAAAAAAAAACAGAAAACAGAAAACAAATTGCCTAAACGTGAAGTTTACTCAGTGAAAATTAAAATACAATAATAAGCTATATAATGAAAGAGTATATATATATAATAAAAGAGGATTGGTAATAAGTACATTTTATTTTATTTTTATAGTTGAAATCAAAAACATATTACAATAATGTTGTTAGTTATATGGAAGCTCAATTAAGAATTGTTATGTGCAATATTGAGCACGCCTGATCTTTCTCTTCCTTCGTACAGGAACGCGACAAGTCCTGCACGGCATGCAAAATGGAATGTCCTCTTCCTCACATTGTATTTGTTTACAGCAGTGGGTGGCAGGCATTGCTTTTCCCGGTGCACGAGGAGTCACCAATTCTACCTAAAAATAGAGTGAGTGTCGCGCTCACATTACTCAATCAGCTGATTGATCAATGATCACAATTAAATTATATTACACTACGTAACCCTAGTTGGTCTGTGATCGCGTTATTAGACTGTCATTTGTCGTGATCCAAATAATAAAATGAGCAGACGAAACAATAATTTTTCCAATTAAATGTCAGTCATAACATAACTCATAACACTCAATTTTAATAACATACAAGTTTGCACTCAACCTTGATAATAATGACAATAGTAATCCATGAATGAACTACTGCATCCAATAAATAATAAATAAAATTACAGAAGTGAAAGTAGTCTTGAGTACTGAGATGGAATATTAGTTATATTCAATCTTAGGAATGGAATATTAGTAATATTCCATCTTAGTATAAAATTAAATAGAACACTTCCATAAACAATATTTTGTAACATAATGTATGGAATCTTGCGGTTGGGCTGTGATGCGAATAATATTTAAACTATCTTAGGGAAGAGCCATAACAACAATTCATAACCTAAATTCGAAGCATATTATGTGCACAAAAACGAAAACAAAAACACTTTTACAAAAATAGTGAAGTGTGAATGTTATATTACCAAAATACACTTAAAAGCACAATTTAGCTAGTTCTATCAATAACTCAACTCTAGGGAGTCAGTAATTACTTTAAAGGGCAATGTATTCCGCTTTTGCAACAAAGTCCAAGCAAAAATGCAGAACTTATCTATTATAAAGAAGCAAACGTTGTTTAAAAAAGGGTTATAAATTATACTTAATACTGTTAATATATAAATACAAGATTGATAATAACTTATGGGAATGAGATGATCGCTACCATGCTGATGTTGTCATATTTTATACATATCGCGTTTACGAACACTAGATTTAATTTTTAATTTTAGTTATAATTTCTAAATATAATTTTTATTTTAAACTAGCTGTTCCCCGCGACTTCGTTCGCGTGTTAGGGTTTTTATGTTTCTGCGCGGAACCCTGATTCTTTTTCTAAAATAAAAGTAGCCTAAGTTACTCCTTATGAAATCAGTTATCTGCCAGTGAAAGTCCCGTCAAAATAGGTCCAGCCGTTTCGGAGATTACCCGGAACAAACAGACAGACAGTCAGACAGACAAAAATTTTAAAAATTGTATTTTAGTTATAGTTATCGTATTTACTTTCATATGCATTTAGTAAAAAACTGTAATTTTGACATTACAAACAGACACTTCAATTTTATTTATATGTATAGATTTTTTAAAATTTTTAATGCTCCTTTGTTTTTTATAATCTGTGTTACCCGTTCTCTTGTCGTTATTCCTTTTCCTATACCTTTTCTCATCCAATCTCGATTTACTGCTTACTTTTCATATCACCTTTTTTAATAAAAAAAATTGACTTTCAACAGAGGCACGAAGAAATAACTTGAAGCAGACTAAATTATATTGTATTCAGTTGTATCGTGAGTAGGTAATGATTTCTTATATTTGAACGCGCGAGTAAACGCGAATAAATTCATAAAAAATAAATTTTCATCCGTCTCTCGTATAAATGTGAGCAATATTATATATTATACACATGAGCTACGAGTACGCGGCAGCTGTATATGGCACAGCACGAATTGTTTGGCTCAAAGTACCATGCTCGCACGCAATACCAGCGTAGAATAGGAGCATATTGCTGCTGTGTTTAGTTTGCTTTCTGATGACTATCGCAGTCCTCAGTGATGACAACATCTACATTTTCTACCAACTTCAAAAAGGTGGAGGTAATCAATTCGACTGTATGTCTTTTTAAGTGTGTTACTTTTTTCAACTTTTTTCCTGGGTGAACCGATTTCAATGATTCTTTTTTATTTGAAAGCATCACTTCATATGTGGTCCCATATAAATTTGATCAAGGTCTGACCAATAGTTTTTGAGTCATTCTTAATAATTTACATTGAATAAAATTTTTAATTTTAAATTATGATTCTTTTAATTGGGGAAAGGTGTTGTTGTTTGATAACTATCTATAAGCACGGAATGTACATATGTATAATAAAACTACGTAGGTACGTATACGTACTTAGTGCCACAGCATCTGTTTACCATAAGGTAAACTGTGTGCTAATTTATTATATTTATTGTATGATAGTTATATTTATTTTGTAATTAAAATTTAATTAAAATAATTTCATAATTAAGACATAAATTTTTAAAAACTTCTTTTTTCCATCCTCATTATGAAACTGTAGTATATTTAAAAATGTTATGTCTGACAAAGAAAAACTTAATCACTTACTTCGAAAACTAAAGAAATTTCATTTCATATCTTGAATAAAACTAGTTTTTTACAGATTTTATCGCGTATATTAACTTATTTCATATTCCCACTTTATAGCACCCATGGTCCCCGGGGGGGGGGGGGATTTTACAGCACCCATGGTCACGGAGAGGAGGGACTGAGGTGTTTGACGTCCCAATGTCACAGTTAGCCACGGCTACCTTTAGATTAAAATTATTTATTTTTGTTCCGATCTACACAGTATGAACTTACAGCATCTTGAGGTCTGTGCAGTTGTATACTTGGGTTTGGATTTTACTAATTATACGATCCCAAGCAGCTGGTAGCATCCAGCCATGTTCTCTATTGAAATTAGGATGTTTTTTGATTTCAATAGCCTCGCGAATCATACTTGGAAGGAATCAGTGTCAAACACCTCAGTCCCCCCCGTAAACATGGGTGCTGTAAAGTGCTCGTTGAGAATATAAAATAAGTTAATATAAGCGATAAAATCCGTAAAAACTACTTTCATTTAAATGTGTAGTGTTCGCGTAAATCGCTAGAAGAAATCATTTCATATCTCGCACACTTAACGATAATTATTAATTATTAATAGAGATTACAATAGAGAATTAGTGTAGTTAATTCTTACTTCTATATTTCCAGTGCGGTTAGGTTCATCAGTCTGCTTCCCAATTTTTAGAATAAATACGTCCTTGTCAGGATGTAGCACCTTCTGTGCCTGAACACCCTTAGGAGCGTCCTTGGGTGTAACATTGCATACTTTACATAGATTGTCATGACCCTCTCTCATGTTGTATACGAGCTCGGAGTTGAGTGCCGTCCGATTGGTTAGTGCCTCACAGATATCGTCAGGAACCTGCCAATAAGAGGAATTTGCTTATGCAAGTTACAATATAATGACAGCTAAAGAGACTATGTTAAAGTTTGATAATTGCGCCGAAGTTGAATCAACCACCTAAACTAAACACATTCGGAGACACAACTGTACTGTCAACTGCATACCTATAGATACCGGGCGTACGTTGAGAATAGAATTGAGGAACCGCACCACACACAGCGGTCTAGGTCTCATCAAAAAATAATGTATAGGTAGAACCGAATAGTATGGGTGCAAAAATATACATTCCATATCGTACCGGAAACTAAAACATGAGACGAGCAGCAGTATTTTCCTGATAACACCTCAGAATTATTAAAACTGCGGTTACGTACCCGGCTGATACGCGAGGCAACTGTGACAAAATCCCCCCATGAGGTACACTGTGTGGGAGGCCTATGTTCAACAATTTATAGATTGTGAGTATAGAAAACTTGTTAATACTTGAACATTAAGCATGTTGCCTCGTCGACCTTCATAGCCGCAAGTCTCCGCTTCCTGACCTGGAAAGCCGCAAGTCTCCGAGCAGATAGAGCGGCCATCATCACACGTGCATTGCTGCTGCAACTTGAGTTGAGACGGTGTTAATTTCGGTGGTTTTGAAGTGCTTTTTGGTACTCTTATTTTAACCTGAAAAAAAAGACAAGTGTAAGAAATCGCCTTGCTCTTTCATTAAAGAACAATTGGAGCTTCGTCCCACAACTGGGTACAGACGTCTGTCCGGAAAGCTTTTGGATCAGGCAAGCTTTTAGCCGACATTAAAAATTAAAATAAATTTATGCGGGAGAGTATATATATAAATTTTCAGAAATGTGCTAACTGTACTTACCTTATAATAAATTAGTATTAAGGCAAATGCAGTTAACACATTCCTGAAAAGCCCCATATCTAACAAGGGAAGCATGAAGATATGGTAAAATAATATACGCTTTTTGATTTATAACTCTGAACTATATGCTTTATAGAATAAGGGTGACAAACGAGCAGCAAAGTCCACTTGAAGGTATCTGGAAACTGTAGCGCATAGACATCTACTTATTCTCTAAAAATAATCAAAATGCAGATGCGTCGCCACCCGTGAGGACTGAGATGGAATGCATCGTTTTCAATAAAAAGGGATCTCCGGTTCTGTAAAATCACCATACGGAATACGGAAGCATTGAGCTATTTCACGCTGGTATTCTGTGAGAGCGTGGTCCTTCCTCGGACGAACCGACGTGCTGCAACCATAAAAGAGCTGCGACATTATTCTACCAGGTATCAAATTTGCGGTAATTCAATGACGCCTTTGCAAAGTTCATAGCAAATTATAGTAAAATCTTTCTTGCGCATTAGCCCAGAGTGCCACGACACATATATGCAATGAATAATCTTCTTCGTCATCATCAGTTCATAAAAGTCCACTACTAAACATGAGCCTCTACATTCTCTACATCTCGCAGATGTGCCATAATGCTAAGTTTTGCGGATGACACTTTTGAGACAAACGAGCCAGTTAACAAATATAAGTCCTGAAATTAAAATACAATACGCGGCACACATCAAGTTTGCCTTTCGGAAGATAGCTACGAGAGGTCAGTAGAATAATAGCATAAATTAACAGTTGTTTATCAATCTCTTTAGATTACACACCGGTATAGATTACATACAGGGTTATATTGCAAGTGTGTGAGCGCAGGCACAGTCCCACGCACGCGTACCTACGCGGGGCACCTGCAACCAACTTAAAAATGGAAGCTATTGGTGTGATGATTATTGCCATCCCCTGTGAGAGTTAAGTGAAAAACCTCGGAGGAAATTCGAAGCACAACAATGGATGCATTTTTGTTTGACTCCGAAAAAGTTGTGTGTTGATTTTTTGACAAATGACAAGACGAGGCACTTGATAGAAAAAAATATATGTACAGGAAATATAACGCGTGTATTTTGTTGAACGGCGAAATGCCCGGAATATTTTGAGGCCTCCAATATATTCAATCCGTATAACTATATCATTTATATCAGAAGAGATATCAAAAGTGCAAAACGCAAAGCGTAAACACAAATACAAGAGGCAAAGTTGTTTATGCGCTGGTCAGGTCATGAAGTATTTAAGATATTAAATATCGTAACCCCAAAATAACTTTACAAATTTCCTTACCTAATGGTCATATACGGGAACAAATTCTTATTTTGATAAAGCGTACTCTCTAAAGAAGAGACTTATGGTAATTACCTTATTTCTACCTATGCGATATAATTACCTCATTTCCATTGAATATTGCGCCAATTTCTTCATATGGCTTGCGAGTTTTTGGTGCTTCGGCGGTTTTTGCCATTATTTGTTTTAAAATTACGAAAAATTTTGAAAATTTTGACAATATTAAACGTTTAATATATCTTAGTGATTTGACGTTTTATTCATAGAGTATCGAGATCTTTATCAGGTTTTATTTACAGAGTATTTGAAAACGCGAACCTCTGTTACATCTTATTAACTAGAAAATATCTAGGTATCACGCGGACTTCTACCATATATACATACATACGCTACTACGTCCACTAGTGAGCACCAAACACAGCTACAGCTACAATAATTCGTCGTTGACGCCGCAAAGGGGCGAACCTCAATTTTTCAAAAAATTACAAGAGAGCAAGAAAACATTTATTATTCCCCGATTACTAGCTTTTTTCATCAGAAAATTAAAAATATAAGACGTAATGGTAAACTGCAAATAAGATTAATCTTTATGTAGACAAGGAGGCGCGTGCTAGTTTGTATAGGATTAACGCCCAGGGCGATCTGAGCTTACTTTCCTACAGATTGAGATCCCTGCTCGACTCAATGAAGGAAACACCAATTTTATGCAAGATCCCAGATATCATGCGTCCACTATACATTTTTAATAAAAAGTACATAGTGGAACTACCCAACAGAGAAGACCGGCTGAATGGACAGGTTATCTGTGAGGTCGGTAGCCTTATATGGTATACCGATGGGTCAAAAATGGGGCTTCGACGTAGGCTTTGGAATTTATGGAGCCTCAAATTCAAGCTTAGAATGAATTAAGGGAAATTCACCTCTATCTTCCAGGCTGAAATTTTCAGCATACTTCGGTGTGCGGAAATCAACCTGCAAAACACTACGTCAATCATATTATCTACACGTAGCTCTGTGTCAGATTAAGCTATTAGAGCCGCATTAGATAACAGCGCCAACAAACTTAGTGAATTCGAAGCTAGTTGGAGACTGCGTGAACCGTCTAAAAGCCCTGGGATGTAACAACAGGGTAATTTTGAGGTAGGTTTCGGGTCATGCGGGTATTTTAGGCAATTAACTTGCCGACAAGCTCGCACAGGAGGGCTCAAAGAGTTCATAATGTGGACTCGAGCCATTTTGTGGAATCTCAAAAAGCATAACCCTTAAAACTCTTTATCACATTAAATCACTTAAGTCCTGGGATTAAGGCTTTAACTAGCCTGAATGACCTTGACGAAACGGCGATCGCAGAGATTTTAGCCGACGTCAACACCGTCTAGCAACTACGTTCTGTATTACTTATAAAAGTGCAAAGACTAATAGACTGCAGAGATGACAATTATATAAGTGACATATTGCCTGTTATGCTTGCGCATCACTGAGAGTTACATTCTGTGTACTAAATATCGGGAATTTGTCAATAAAACAAAAAATACAAATTATTCAATTAAATTTATTTTATCGCCTTCAAAGTAGGCCCCATCGCTTGCTATACAACATCTCCAATGCTTCACCCAGTCTTCCATACATTTTTCATAGGCTATTTGCGGTATGGCCTTTAGCTCATTCAGCGAATTTTTTTATGACTTCTATCGACTCAAAACGTTTTCCTCGAAGTGGTAATTTTAACTTGGGAAATAAAAAAAAGTCAGACGGAGCCATATCAGGTGAATACGGTGCTTGGTCGAGAACTTTTGTTGAATTTTTCACTAAAAACTCTTTCACTATAATGGCTGTGTGTGATGGTGCATTATCATGGTGCAGCATCCATGAGTTGTGTTGCCACAAATCTGGACGTTTTCGGCGGAAACTCTCACGCAAACGCTTCATGACGCCTAAATAATATTCTTTATTCACTGTTTCTCCCTTTGGAAGGAATTCGGAGTGAACCACACCACGGTAGTCAAAAAAAACTGTCAGCATCACCTTGATTTTGGAGCGACTTTGCCGCGGTTTTTTGGGTTTCGGCTCGTTTTCGAGACGCCATTCTGAAGACTGTTGGCTTGTTTGCATGTCGTACTCATAAACCCATGTCTCGTCTCCAGTTATTATACGTTTCATAAAGGTCGGATCCGTAGAAGCTCGGGAAACCATGTCTTCAGCGACATGCTTTCGCTGCGCTCTTTGAACAAAATTGAGCTCTTTTGGAACTCTCTCAGACTCATATGTCGATTTTCGAGCACTAGCTTCTTGATTTTGTCGATGTTTTCTTTGGTCGTAGCGGTTGAAGGTCTACCAGAACGAGGCAAGTCTACTACTACTTCTCGGCCTTCTTTAAAAGCCTTATACCATTCATAAGCCCTTGTTTTCGATATACACGATTCGCCGTAGGTATTTCGCAACATTTTTAGTGATTCACCACATGAAATATCATTCGAAACACAAAATTTAAGGCACACTCTTTGTTCAACAATATTTTCCATTGTAAAAATCGCCGAGAACTCAAAACTATGACCAACAAAAAGTGTAGTTTAAAACAAATTAAATGACAGATCCCGCTCAAACTTTGCGCGCTAAATCAGTACAGTGCTACCAACATGCAGTAAAAAAATTAGAACGACCTCTTTTACACGGGTCTTTTTATTGACATATTCCCGATACTTTTTACACAGAGTTGTATGTCTCGGTTACGCATCTTCAATTACATTGTGCTGTAGCTTTGTCCGGTAGCCGTCACGAGCTATCAAGTGTTCAAGTTTCAAGTAAGTATGAGTTTTTTTTATTATATATGTCGGAGCGTCTATAAAATACCCGTTGTATTGAGGTGGAATGAAGGGTATATCGAGAAACCACCGCTTGTTTGTGCAGTATAGAGTTCACTGTAGGTGCCGTGTGCGAGAGAGTCCGCTTCAGTCATTCAACGAGTGTGGTCATTCTACTAGTGCTAAGATAGTGTCGTGGTTCTGTTCGTTGTTGTAATTCCTCTAGTGCAGACAAGGAGGATTGGTGTTGCTGAGAGGCTGCCCTGTGTTACATTGAGATAAGTAGTGTTGCTGTTGCTGTACATATTTTGGTGTTATCATGTAATTACGTACCTCACGTTACACTGGTGTGTGATTGTGGCGGAGACGTGTTACGGTGTGGTCGAACTGTAATTTCACTATACTGAATGTATAGTGCGTTACGTTGTCTTGTTACTGATAATGATTAAACTGACAAGAGAGACAAGAGAGCAAGTTGAACATCCGCTCTCACACATTTATTATTTTAACAGTTAACGCTATCCTGATGTATTTCCAAGATCAAAATTGGAATCCTCTGCTGTAAATCTCCGATATCAGAAGTGGGATCTCGTGTTGTCATTTCCGATATCAGAAGTGGGATAAAGTCCCTGTTACTGTCCACCTTTGAATAGTGTGAGGGTTATTACGTTGGTGAAATACTATGATGCGCCTCGCGTTTTGTTTTTGTGTTTAATTTCTTAAATCAAGTTTGTATTTACGACACTGACGAATCATTAAAGTATAGAGTAAAAGTTTAAAGTGAAATGCTTTAAGCCAAAAGTTAAATCTTTTTGTTCGATTTGTAATAAAAAGTACCCGCAAATACTTTCATTATTTCTTAACGTACCCAAATATGATAACATTTGTCGAAAGAAATGTTGGAGGTATTCTAAATGAGTTATAGTTTGCATTCAGTGGAAATTTATTTTATGTTATAAATTTGATATACGAGGTGTTATTTACATGGGCTAATTTTAAGGTTTAAAATGTTTAAACGATGTACCGAAAAAAAATGTTTAACTTTAACGTGCTATTAATTAAAAACACTAAGTTGTATTTCTGTGTTCTAATGTGTTACAGTTTACTGCGAGTATTACGTAGTCGATAAAATTGGGATTTGATGTTGAGGGTTTAGTGGAACGCGTGGTGCTGTGGCGCTCGCTCTTGATTGGAAGTATGCTGTCGGCTTATGACGCCGCGACCACGTTAATTGCCCCTGCTACCGATCACCATTAGATACATGAGGAAAGCAAATTTATCTTAAGGTTAACTCTTTAATTGGTTGCGAAAGTGCTGAAAAACCAAAGTATAACTGACGAAATTGAAGTAGAGCAAATTAGTTCTGACATTGAAGTGAGTATTTAAGTTTACATGCGGATCGGACCGTATCAGAGGTTATAGTGTAGCCGCAGCTCAATACATGGTGCCCTAGAAAAGCGAATGGTGTCTCAAGAGTAGTGCTGCATTTCTTGAAATCAAGTTCCGACCGAGTCTTTTTAATATGTTTTCTTTTATGTGTTACAGTAGCATGTGTGATGTGATTACATGTGCGCGAGTGTGAGGCGAGTGTGTGCCTTGCTGGTGGTAACGTACTACCGGATCCAGTTGTAGCATAGCCTGGTTTCGGCAGACGCGTATGCTGCATGCGTGACGGGCACTTTCCCTGAGTGCGCGTATGCTATACATGGCGATGCCTCCGAAGTCGTGTACTCTGTATCGCGATAGTCATGTCATACACTGTGCGCGCGGAAGTCGTATTGTCTGTGAGCGCAGAAGTTGTGTTTTCTGAACATGCATCAGGCTCTGTCCTGGCAGGCGCTGTCCCGGTTCACGTTTTTAACGTGGTTCACGTGGTTAACGTGGGATCTCGCAAGTTCAAGTAAGAGTATGTGTGAGATACTTCGTATGGAGATGTATGCTTACTTGTGAAAGCGAAGTGCTTTATTATAGTCCATGGTATGAGAGCGTATTTCTGTTTTAGGGCCTCGTATGCGTGATGGATAAGAGGATAGGCAACTGTGTATGTTGTCCTGATAACTAAAAACTTGTTTTTAACGCAGATCCCGATGACGGCAACCCCGACGATGCCTGTGAACCCTCAACGCTTACGCTTTAACGCTTTGAGTACGTGGTACGATGCAGTGTCTTGCTGGCGCTGGTGAGATGCGACGGCTCGCTGTGAGAGTGCGGCACGCCCTTTGCTGTTGTTTTGACCACATGAGCTTGCTTCAAGGCAGCTAATTATGGTGTGAGCTGTTGTTTTAGTAGCCACGTGCGCTAGCCCTATGCCTGCCGCAGAGGCGAGCAGTGAGCGACGTGTTGACCTGTACTATGTGAGCAATCCCAGCGGTGTGCT